CAGTGGTTGTGGAAGTGGCTATGTAGAAAGCAAATGGTCTATGGTGGGACAATAAGGAAATCAAAGTAAAGGGAGCAGAGTATAAAAAAGGGCAGGGAATGCAGGTAACCAAAGAAAAGCCCTTTCTTCTTCGTCATGTGGGTTATCCGAATATCAACATCAGATCCGTGCAGGGCCAACATCAGAGACTTCAACCAGCAAGGCTCACTTTCGATGCAGAGGTGGTGAAAAGGGGGATTTCTTTCCAAAACAGTCTGATGTCCATCCAAGCTAAGGAAGTGTGCACAACGGGCGACCTGGGCGGGTATGACATACTGATGCCGGCCTCACTCTGCGGAACAGTCCCCTGTTCCAATGCAGCCGTCATAACCACAATTTCTTCTGAACTTTGTGTCGCCATAAATCTTGCCTCAGCAACGGGGAGACACTAGCTGTTCTGTATCAACTCTGCAACTCTCTGAACCTTGAAAGAAAAACAGACAGCATTTCAGCCTCAATCGGATCAAATACGGGTGTAGCCGAAACACGGGTGTAGCCAAACAACTGTACCCTCCCGCTGATCACTGTTCCCAGAAGTCACTGTTCCCGAAAGCTGAACCAATACCCGCGGATAACTGATTCTTACAACTGATACTGATACCAATTGTATGGATTTTATCAAATATATTGTGCTGGTGAAAAATAAAGGAAAGGACTACCCAGTGAGAGTATGCGAAAATCTGGACTCCTCTGTGGTAATGGAGAGGAGCGTGTATCAATGTGATTGTAGACAGATGGTTGAAGGAGCATCTGTGAATGGGGGAGATCAGAACAGTAGAGATATCCATGGCTCTGTGGTAGAAGGAGGAGGTAGATGCAGGGTTGAGGGGACTTTGGTGGGAGCATGTGTGGAGAAGGAGGTGGCCAACGGTAAAAAGGTCCCATCACAGAGCAACAAAGCTATTGTAGATGATCAGAAAAGTTGGGTGTCAGAAACTATAGCAGATGTAGTAGGTAGTAGTTTTGAAAAACCAATCGAGGGAGCCACAGTAGACTGAGGGGTTGCTTGTTGAAAGAGTCATCATTACAGTTGGAGGTAGGTAAAACCATGGCACTAGATGAAGATATTTGTACTCCGGGCTTTATTAAACGTATTAATGGGTTTGAAGGGGAGAGGCCCAATATCAACCTAGAGGTGGTTATTGGAGAAGCCCAACAGAGGACTGTAACGCGCCCGCGGGGGGGCCTCATGCTACAGTTCGGACTCTCGATTTGTGTCACGGTTCTTAATCTGAACCAAAGAGTCCAAATCTGGCAAATCGTTTTGAGAAACAGATTTTTGAAAAAGTAGTGCCAAACATGGACTGCTTTGCCAGATACAGAGTCGCCACCTAAATATTTTAAAATGGGAGAATTTAGGAAACCCTGACTCGGTGCCGAAGGCCACATGTCCGTCATCACCGGAGTTGTCTCGGCTCGGGAGCTTGGGTACGATCGGGGAAGGTCAGCTATGAGCACCCCCTCTCGCCCGGTCTGAAGACCGGCCTCTACTAACCGTGATATCCAATTTTGAAAACGCTATGTGTTCTTAAACCAATTATTAGCCTAGAATTACTACGTTATGCGCGCAGCAAACAAGTATAAACCAAATCGCCCAAATTGGAACAAAACATTTCATGTTTGTTTTGAAAATGGTTTGCTACTCGCAAGTAGGCTAAAATGCAGATTTTGCCACCCTCAAGTGGGCTTTTAGAAAAGATGATTTTGCCACTATCTAGTGGGCTTAAAAAAAAAAAAAACTCATAGTCAACGAATTGTTCCAATCCAAATAACCCAACCTTCACCCACAAGCATTCAGGCAGTTATATCACATAAGCATATAGCCTCATGGTAAGCATGCTATTCATGGCAGTCACTCACACGGATGGAAGGATGCTAAAGCATAAAACTTACCGAGTACTCCAAGCCAAAACAGAAGCTTATTAGAAATCCATGCATGATCCTAATTATACAGAAATACCTAATGCAACACATGCAAAAGTGCAACTATAGCAGGCTCGGCTATTCTAAACATGGCATATGAAATGCTACAGCTAACATGTATTCAATTTGGAATTGAAAAGTACAATGTAGTTTGTATGATGTACCGAGCCCGGTGCATGTCAACAAATGCATGAATGCACGCATGCATAGCATAAGGCATGCTAAAATAAATGTGCCCTAATCTACCATCATAAGCAGGTAAATAAAAGGGAAGAAAGAAGTGGAGGTTGAAAGACATGCACACACGCACACACACTTATTACAAATTTGCCCTCACACATAACATGGCATGCACAATGCTATGTAACATGGGAATATTACCAATGCAAATAATTTTTTTTTTTTGAGAGCCTTCGTTGTTTTTTGGCCGCGCCCTTTCGACATCCGGCATTGATTGAAAATACTTATTGAAGAAACCGTTTAGAGTGAAGGTGTTGACGCCACAAAGTAAACGAGACTGCGGTATAAGGAACCAAACCAAATTGAAGAGCTCACCTCCTTCTCTAAGCTTCTGAAAATGGTAATTTTTTGGACAACTAATTGCAGCGTAGCATAACATGGCCAACCACAAGATTTTCAATTCTTCCTTTTTTAGATGGTATGAAATAGCAGCCAAACAAAACAAATTATATACAACCCACTGCATCTCTCTCTAACTTTTTTTAACAAAAATTTATTTTTTATTTTTTAATCTGGTTTGCCTCTATTTATTTGGATATAATGTGCTTGGCAACAAAATTCTTTGAACAATATTTCTCTCCCTCTAAGTTCGATTTTTAAATAGTCTTTTTCAACTACTTCTAGCTCTATTTGCGTGCATCTATATATACTAAGAATGTGAGCCCACCTGATAGGTGTGTTTAAAATATAAATTTTAATTTTAAATTTAAAACATATTTTCTATGTTATTTAAGTGGTGAAAAGTGTTCTTTTATGTCAATCAATGGTCATTGGTTGAGGTCTTGTGCCCCCTTGTGTAACTATAATATTTTTTTCCCCCTTTTGAATAGAGAAATGACACTTGACGCAAGAAGATAATTAAGGTCACTTGTCCACTTGGCACTAGTTTTTTTTTTTTTTTTCTTCTTCTTTTGAATAGAGAAATTGACACTTAACGCAAGAAGATAAGGCCACTTGGCACTATAATTTTTTTTCCTTTTGAAGAGAGAAATTGACACTTGACTTAAGAAGAGAAAGATAAGGCCACTTGGCACTATAATTTTTTTCCATTTTGAATAGAGAAATTGACACTTGACGCAAGAAGAGAAAGCCACTTGGTATGGTAAAAGGAGAGAAAGAGGTTCATAAAATCAAATGAATTGTTCACTTTTAATAATAGTATAAATAGAAGTGTAGAAGACATACACATCTATCTATCTATCTATCTATACTATTATTAAGTGAATGCTAGATTTGGTGTCCAAGCCTTCTCCTCATGCCATGTGGCATATTTTTTTATCCTAAAAACAAAAATTACATAGGTGGTGTTTGGCAAGTGGGTTGGGGCTAAAATAGCCACAAAAGACAAAACAGGCTATTTTAGCCACAACAAACAAAACATCACATCCAACCCATAATCATTACACCCTTCTCTCACAAAAAAAAATCAAAAAGCCAAAAAACCCTTCCCAAACCAAGCTTTTTAGCCCAGGCTAAAATAGCCAAAAAAGCCAAAAAGCCAACCCACTTCCCAAACAGAGGCATAAAGTGTTGAAAGAGGTTTGAACCCAAGACCTTCGATTTCATTAAGAAGTCTCACATCACTTGGGCGACATATACATATTAGAATATTAATTTCTAAATTATTTGTTTTTATTCTTACTTATTCAAATTGTATACGCAAACACGTGTACCACCTGCTAGCCTATACATATGGAAACACAACATATATATATTGTAATATATGTGTTTAGGTTCAATTTTTTTTTAATTTTTAATTTCAAATATAGGACTATATACATGTGTATGTAATTTTCTAAAAACTATTTATGACATTTTTGTTTGGCACCATTTTTTATTATTTTTAAAATTTGAATATATTACAAAGTAAGTTCATTAAACTAAACGGTTAGTCGAGTTGAATCGTTCGATTCACACTCAATTTAACCCAATTCGTTTATACCCAACCAGTAAATGGACAGGTTGCGTTGAATTATTTTATTACCTAACCTATTTTAACCCGCCCATTTACTACCTCTACAAATTACTAACACAAGGGATTAAATAAGAGTGGCGATTTCAGCAATTTTGATGAATAGGATCACTTTATAAATTTAAGTTTTACAAATTTTAAAAACCAAAAACAACTTTTAAACTAAATAACATTTATTTTGTTTGGTTCTAAATTTTTAAAAGTAGTTTTTGAGTGTTTTTTTTTTTTTTTTTTTTTGAGAAAAATGTACTGAATTTTTTAATTTTTTATATAAAAAAAATCACAAATATTTTACTTTTTAAATATATCTAGATTAAGAGAATCTAAAAAGAAAGAAAAAAATATGCTTAAAATGTTTAAAAAATTCACCAAAGACGAGTAACCTCAAAAACAAAAAACTCAAAAATTAATTTTGAAAATTGTTCACTAAACAGACTAAAAATTTAGTGTTACGATGATACCCTCAATCTCATTCAAGTCCATGTGGAGAGCGATAACAAGATTGTTATCGAGCTGAGTGTATTCGAGTTGGATCCTCTTTGGTACTGTCAAGCCATCATCTATGACATTGTTCATGCTTGAGTGCGTAATAACATTAGTGTCTACTGGTCTCCTAGAGAATCAAACTGTGTAACTCATTGGGTTGCTTCCATGAACCTAAACGGCTTGCTTCCTTTAGATTGGGTTGTTGATCCCCCCTGTGAGCTCTTTGCTCTCTTGTTTGCTGGTATTTTGTAAGCCTTGTGGCATTTCCGAGTTCAAAAAAAAAACTTACATGTAGAGGGTAAACTTATTCAAAATATAATTATATTGCCATATATACATAAAAAGGTAAATGACAGGATATTATTGAATAAAGAAACCAATAACATAATATTATTATTTGATTGAACATTTTTTTTTTCATTTAAAGGGATCTTTTAATTTTATAAAACAACCAAAATATACAAAATAAAATATTACCAATGCAAATAAACTATTTTTTTTGGTTTAAGAGCCTTCGTTTATAGTGGCCTCTCCCTTCCGACATCCGCCATTGATTAAAAATACTTTTTGAAGAAGTCGTTTAAAGTGAAGGTGTTGACATCATAAAACATACGAGACTGCGGTATAAGGAACCAAACCAAGTTGAGGAGCTCACCTCCGTCTCTAAGCTTTTGAAGATGGTCATTTTTTGGACCATTAATTGCAGCGTAGCATAACATCGCCAACCACACATTTTTCAATTTTTTCCATTTCTCCTTCTTATTACCTTCGTCGACGAGTTCACAAATCACGCCTTGTAAGGACAAATTCATCTTGCGTCTTTGTTCTTTAGGTATTCTACTAGAAGGGTTTCTTGTCATATTAATACAAATTCTTGTCATATCCGAGGGAGAAAATTTGCTTCCTTCACGTTCTTGTCCTTTTATTTTTCTACATATAAGAGTTTTAAAAATTAATTTTTTTTTATTTTTGTAAGTATAAATTTTGTTACAAAAAATATTTAGGGACTAATTTCAATTGTAACGTGGCCAATTGTAAAAAGTCATCCCGAAAAGTAAAAAATGAGCTTTTAGGAACAAAATTTTAAAAATATCGCTAATAAATGCACTTTTATGGACAAAATAATTTGTTCCCAAAGATTTATTTTTTAAGACAACTTTTGGTTTCAAAAGGCTAATAATTTATCATTAAATGTCTAATTTTATCAGTAAAAATAAAATAATAACACTTTTTGTAATAAAAATATTTTGTCCCTAAAAAGTAATATTGTTCCTAATTTTATTTTTTTTTTGGTCTCAAATCATAATTTCTTGTAGTGATAACATCCGTAATATACCCGAAACAAAAACTGTAATATACCTGAAACCAGCACGGGCATCGCGTATGAAATTCTTCAACTGATCATTTGATACAACAACAGGCAACAACGAACGGCAGGTGAGGAGTAGATACATCATGTAATTTGATAGAGTTTTGCATATTTCCTTGTCATCATGATGTCCACATGAGTTAGCACTATTTTGGGAAGTGCATGCAACCGACTCTAAATCTGACTCTGACTTACTAGTATCATCATCACGGTAGCATATATTTGTTATGGTGTGCATAATAAGAATTTGGTCATGAAAAGCTGTAGAGCCAATGAACAGCTTAAGCCCCCCAAGGTCAATTGAGTTGTCTGTAGCTGCGGCACTCTTAATAAATTTTACAATCATGGGAAATAGCGTCCGAGGGATACTACGCCTGTACCAATTTGGAAGATTGTCTTCCCCTTCGAATTGACCAATTTGCCCCATCTTTTTAGACCACTTCTTCTTTTCAAAAAACCAACGAAATTTCTGCAACAATCGGATTGCCAATTTGCCTCTGCGGCACTTAATTAGCCAAAGCATCGCCCAATCAGAGAATAATAACAAAATGACTGCATAAATCTCCAAAGCTAGAGCTCCGACCAATAGTACCCCTGTGATGACAATATCAACCATGGAGTAGTGCTGCTCGTGCCACTTCAATTCCATGGCGATAAGCCGGAAGAGTCCTACCAACACAGACACCGTACACATGAAGCTGATAGAGCGAAAAATGCACCCTCTCTTGGTAAATGTTATGGGTGCTTTTGTGTATAACAAATCGTACATGAGCCCCATTTCAACCTCCAATATATCCCCAGTATATGTATCATCATCCAGATTCATTGCATTCATAAAATTTCCGTTCGGCAAACTTTCCATGAATTGATATCTACCAATGTCATAATTCTCTATATAAAATTTAAATGCCCCCACCAGCATGCAGGCCATACCTAAAAATTCATCTCTCTCATCTTGTTTGATAGGGCGAACAGGTTTACCTGTGTATAGATCATATAGATCATAATAAAAGGGTACAATGCTTTCTGATTCATTATCGCATGCTAACTTAAGAGCCCATGTTCTCTCCCCATACTTAATAATTCCAGCCACAAATGCGGGAATTAACATAAATGAAAACCATAAATGCCTCCAAGACATAATAATGACATAAATTGCTACAGAAGCTTGAATACCCATGCCCAAAAAATGCCTTATCCACAATTGATTATCTTCCAATGAATAAGCAGTTATAGTATCTGGGCCACCAAGATGCAATAAAAGTAAGGGTGCCCATAATGCATGTAATGCATTATTGAGATTAGGAATGTTATTTTGGGTATCAGAGAGCTTGCTGAGGGCAATAGTTGCCACCGAATCGGCCATTATGTAGGCCAACCAAACAATCACATTAATCCCTTGGGACGCTATATTCTTTCTACGTTTGCCAAAGACGAAAAGAATGATTTGTAAAGTGAGACTAAGTAGAACCAGTATCCGAACATCCCACACATCCCATAGTATCTTCCACGATGCTGGAATTAGATTCATCACACCCTTCTCTTCTTTATCCACATGGAGAGAAAATTAAGTTACTATAAGTAAACATAGACGGATAAATATGAATTGAACATTATTATCCAACCTAAAAAATTAGACTCGCTTTTTAAAGTTAATGATGTGGCAGTTAATTAGAATATATAAAGTAACATTTTTTTTTATATCTTCTCAATCATCAACCAATCATCTAACTTACACATCATTGGGTCTAAAAAGTAAACTTTTATATCATTTTCCATCATGGTAATGCATTATAATTGAGAATGAATATTCAAAAATTTCTACAATACAACTCTTTTTTTTCTTTTTTTTTTTAAATTTTATTGTTCACCATATGCAATTTATAATAATTTATGATGTCAATAGTACTACAAAGTGTCGTACTCAAACCACATTCAGTCAAAACTAAAGAAATCAAAATGGGTCATAACTAATTTTTTTTAAATTTTATTGTTCACCATATGCAATTTATAATAATTTATGATGTGAATAGTACTACAAAGTGTCGTACTCAAACCACTTTCAGTCAAAACTAAAGAAATCAAAATGGGTCATAACTAAATACCCTAATGAATTATAATTAACACCACAATAATTCATAGTCAACATCAAAATGAGTCATAACCAAACGCCACTTGCATCATAACGAAAGACTTTTTTAATCATAACCAAAATTAAAATAAAAAAATAAATTAGAAAAAACACAATAATCACTAACTTTTGCAGATAAAAAAAATAACAGCCATAATAAATCATAACAAAGTCCTAACCAATTCCCGAATAGGTAGTAACCATGTCAAAACCAATATTACCATCGATCATAACCAAGCATCACAAAAGTCGTAACTAGGCATATGATACACTCCTTTTTTGAAGTGTGTTTTCATAGAATTTCCCATTAAAGTGAAGAGAAACATCATAAACTCAAAATTTAAGTCTCTCAATGTACTCACAAATGTAATGCCCTGATTTTCAAAGATTAATTAGGTAGAAATTAACTAACCAAAGCGTGAGATTTTTTTTTTTAAAAAAAAAAAAGAAAAAGAAACTTCATTCTCATTCAATTAATTATAAAAATCTTTTTCAAACCCATTTTCTTTTCACAAATCTACATAAGAAAATACCATAGATGAAATCATAAACCCACTCTCCGTGTATTTCAATTAATATTACATAATCATTACAAATGGAACGCCCCAAAGCTTACAATAAATGAGAGAGCACTGCTCCTTACAAAAAACGACACTAAGCCAAATAAACAAATGGAGTATTATAATTCATTACTACATTATAAATATGAAATGGTAAAACCAGCTATTTGATCTTCAAATCCAAAAAGCATTCTTTATACACATGTACAGATAGGGGGTGAGCAAACTACTAGCTCACTAAGCAATCTCATATTATAACATTAAAAAACATGCGGGTCTAGCGATACAGTGATACCAAACAGATATATATAAAGTCATACCATGCCATAACTTTATGATTTTATTACCTAATTCCTAAAATTCAAATGAAATTAATTAACCATACTTGTTAACTTAAATAAATTAACATACTTCAATGTTAACAAGATATTTTTTTCAAAACGAACGCGATGCCAAAGTTTATAACGCGAGTTATATGCATGTCTTTTCTTCAAAGCAGAAAACAGGCAGTAAATACACACATTGGGAATCTCTATCAAGCATAATGTTTCACGGAAATTTCATCTGCAAGAAATTGTAAACCGGCACCCATGTAAACGTAAGTTATATAAGCGCTACTATTGTCATTTCACAGAAATTTCATCCCCCGAATTGGCACCCATGTATACACGCGGTTTTTTGGACTTTCACCATGAACACACAGGCTAACTTAATTTGAAGTAACCACATCTCTTACCCAGATTTACCAAAATATTCACCCACTTTTCTCAAAACACACTACAACAAAATGCATGTTTGGCGACTAAAATTGGCGACCAAACCAATTTTAGTCGCCAAAAATACCACATTCATCGACCAAATATCGGCTTCGGTCGCATTCATTGAAATCTTTTGCCGACTAACGTATTTTCGTCGCCATATAGTATCATTGGCGACCAACTTTCCATTTAGTCGCTGTTGTTACCCACTTTAGGCTACCAATATTTTATTTTGTCGCCGTATGGTTTAATTTGGCGACTAAGCATTTTTGTCGCCAAAAAAAGGGTATTTTTGTTATCACTTTTTGACGACCAATCTGTATTAGTCGTTGTATATTCAGTATTGGCGACGAACATTTGAATTTAGTAGCCAAAAAAGTAATCTTTAGCCGACCAATTTGTTGTCGCCAAACATGCATTTTGGCGGACAAATTGTCGTTTAGTCGCTAAAAGTTCGAATTTTTTTTTTAGAGGGAAATAAATAATTTCGCGCCCAGTACATATATATTGCACACAGTGTTTTGTTCTCTTTTGTCTTCCCTTCTCACACACCGACATCAACATACCAAACCCGTCCCTACCAAACCCGTCTGCTCACCACCTGCGAGCATCACCATCGCAGGCCACCGGCGCTCGCCACCAGCACCACTGCAAATCGGCGATCATCACCATCGCAGGTATGTTTCTGTCGTCTCTCTCCCTCTCTGTCGAGCTGGTTCTATCTGGTTGTCGATGTCTCTCCCATCCCCTTCTCTGACGATTACTTTTAGGGTTTGACATGTTTTTGTCCTTTCATTTCCATTTTATTTCGTACACAAATTAGGGCTTTTCTGACTTCGTGAATGGGTGTGGTTGACATTGCAGATTGTCCATTTTGATTTTGGATTTGGATTATCTCTCTTCTT